TTGGGTGGGTGGGGGGGTGGTAGACTTTCCTGCATTTGTTGCTGACAGCAGTGAATGCTTGAATCTCCTACATTATTACCAGTCATCAGGTCCAGTGTTTTGGTGAGCAAATTACTGTTCAATTCCCAGAGAAGCTGCAGTGGCAGAATGACAAAAGGAGACATACACTCTGGAATATTTGTCAACTCTTGGATCTCATTTTATGTTATTTTGTGCTCGTATATTAGAGCCCTACATGGCCAGACTGCTCAGTATATCATAGACCTTCTACATCCCCCGCACCACGAGCTGGGCTCTTTGGCCCTCTACTCAAGGTCTTCTAAGTGTACCTCCAACACGTTTTAAGATTCAGGGTGATCGTGCTTTCAGGTCAGCAGCCCTTAAACTCCCTAAACTTGGGGTCCTTCTTCTAAAAAAGTAGCTAAAACATCTGTTAAAACAGACGTATAGGTAGCATGTTGTTTTTTAATGATTTATCCTATGTCCTGTGTTTGTTCCCCTTGTATAATTTATCTTTATCTTTGTTTGATTGATTTGATTTAAATTTTTGATTTTATTTCTTTGACTGTGAAGCACTTTATAACTGGTGTCTATATAAATAAACCTTCTTTTACAGAACAAACACGTGAATTTCAACATGTTGAGAACATGTGGACATCATGGCACCACAATTATATAGGTTTTACATGGGAGTTTACATGGGCTGCACACATTACACCCAAAAAACGAGACTGGCCTTAAAATCTGACATTTAAAGTTGCATTAGTTTGCCACTTGGCCACTAGGGGGCAAACTAACTCATATCCCTTACATGGTATTACATTTAAGACTGTTATCACTAATGTGTAAGCGATGAATTGACTATTAACACATCTAATAGACAGACAACAGTAGTTGTGTACACATAGGTCTAATATTCACTCTCATTTTAGCGCCATTTTTGGTCTCCATCAGCTCCTGAGGAAATATCTAACTCTTTAACTCCTCAGCTTGTTGTGTCTGTCTTTCCGTTTGGTGCTGGGCAGGTATAGTGGATTTATCTTCTGAAAACAGCTGCCGGCTGAACCGTAAATGTGCCGTAAAACCAAAAATAGAAGCTGAAAGAGGACAAAAAGCCATTCTGTAAAGCTGCAGAGTTAAACCACAAACTGAGCTCATGATACATTATCTATATCTTTGTGGTTTAGGGTGATTTTTTCACCACCACATCCTGGAACCACTGAGCTGAGCATCAAATACCAATCGAACTTGTTCTGCTGTGACTTTCTGCCCTCTCTGCCCTCAATGATGGTTATTTTGTTATGCAGTTAATGGTGAATAGTTAACTCCATTTTCAGCAAAAAACTGATTAAAAAGAGCCACCACTGAACATTAGGAGGTTATTTCTAAGATGTTCTAAGAAGAAAATGATGATTGTGTTTGGTGTTGAAATAATAAGGCTGTCAGTAATCTGTTGCACCTAAACCAGGTTTCTTTTTGACACAGTATGTCCTTCCAGGGAAGATTTACACCTAAGTAGGATTACCTCTCTGTGCATACCTCCTTTACCTCCTTTTAGCTGGGAAGAAAAAGACTAATTGAAAGTAAAGAAATGATTGAATTGATCTACTTTTATGTGACTTGAATTTCACCATCAATATCTCGGCTGCAGCCAGAAAGATAGATTTTCTTCTCTAACAGGAACTTTTCATTTAAAAAAGTGAAAGTGATGGAAACAGTTTTCAGATTTATACACCCTCAGTCGACGTTTATGATACTTTCAGCTCCAATCATATAAAGAAAGATGGGGTAAAGGGGAGAACAGGGGTCTGGATAACCATTTACAGCTCCCCCTCCTCACTTTCTCTCTAAATGCTTCCCTTTCTCCCACCTCACCCTTCCCTCCCTATAGCTCACCTTTAGACGTGGCTGCCCACCTCAGATTCCTACTAATCAATCAAGCTGTTTCAAAGCTTTCTCTGCCAAGAATAAATCCATCGATTTTGTTGCCAAAAACAGTCAAATTGAGTTTATCACCATTAACAGTTGACTATCTGTGCAACTGTAGAATGAAATAGAAATTTAGCTACTATTTTTATGTGTCTCTTTTATCTTTTAAACATCATCAAAAATGTGGTTATCTTTTCAACATAGATTAGCCTAGCATATAGCATATCTAAGTACAGGAAAGAAGGATGTTAATAGCGTTTGTGACCAAGGCCTGCTCAATTTTGATTGGAGGAGAGAGAGAAAAGGGGCGGGACTTGAAGGCAATCTTCCCTCTCCTGTCCACTGCATCAAAATGAAAGCTACAGACTGATCCCTCTCCCTGTGTCTCTGTCTCCATCACCAGATTGGACATGACATCTAACAAGCTGAAGAAGATTCCTCCAGACCCGCTCTTCCTGCGGATCCCGGTGTACGCTAAGATGAAGGGTTCTCCTCTCACGGCGCTGGTGTTGAGTTTTGGCGGGAACCCTCTGCACTGTAACTGTGAGCTGGTCTGGCTTCGCCGACTGACCAGAGAGGACGATCTGGAGACCTGCGCTTCACCAAAAGACCTGGCTGGCAAATACTTCTGGACCATTAGAGAGGTTTGTTAAAGTTACTGCAAAAGCCTCATTTCAAAACCCACAAAACCCCAACAAAGTACTTTTAAAAAAGCACTGTGAACTACTAGAGAAGTTACAGTGTTTATTCTGTAGAGTAGGGTTAATGTTAGCTACAGTATAAGGATACATTAATGTGTAACAAAGTGTCAGGATATAAGAAAAACAATGAAATGATCCGTTATTTTCTATATCGGAACACCTTGGAGTGCATTATCACACTTTCAGCAAGTATGGTACAACTAAAACTTATATTAAGATACAAATACAATTTTGGACCTGCACATTGCTTAAAGGTGTCACTGAGAATATTTCTGTGATATTAGAAATAAAGATTTATGTTTACAGTGATTTTAGGTCCCATACGTGTTACATGTATCACTTTTTAGCTGGATAATTTGGGTCTACACCAGTTTTGGAAAGGTCATCTAAAGTTTTATAACGACATCTAGTGGCTTCTAGTTGATCTTGTTACCTTTGTGGGAATAATAACACAAATATTGTACTTCTTGATAACAGGAGCCCCAAGTCACCATTAGCAACAAATACAAATATACACAAAAAAAGAATTATGTAAACCTATTGGTCATAGAAATTGCATTCTGTGTGTTTGGTGATAATCCACTAAACCCTGTAGCGAGATGCGTTTTGTTCCACTAACTGTAGCCCTCAGTGGATGCATTTTTTTTCTCAAGGACACTTTAACGGGGCAGATGGTTGGTGTCACAGAGGAGTGAACCTTCTGGTGAAAGTGTGGAGTCATGGAGTCTGATATGGAAAAATGCATCAGAACCATGACATTTCATTATGTATGTCTGCCTTATATCGTATTGCTGAGTTAGAAGAAACAGAGAGGGGATTGGAAACGCTCCGGTTTATGTCGCATAGGTGGTTGTAGATCAGTATTGGGAACAATTAAGTCATAAAGAGGCAAAAATAAAACAGATGTGGTGCCGCGTTTGGTCTTTACCCAAATGCACAATGCACCTTGATTTATTTATTGGTCTATTTAACAGAGACAGTGTACATTAATAAACATTACAGCAAATGTGGCAGTAAAGCAATTTTTCATCAGAAGTCCCTGGGGACATGTTACAAAGGCAACCCAGAATGGTCCATAAAAAACACTTTGAATAAAATATGAGCATGCAGAGCAATGAAAGACATTAACCCTAACAGCCCCAATGTTTTGCCGGCATGAGGGTTTGCACACAACCTGTTTCACTGCCAATCCAAATATCAATAGCCCAAGTATTTATGAGCTGTCATGCTTGCTGTGAACCCACTTCACATGGTCATCTAAGCGACATGTGCACATCAAAGTTTGGATGTTTCTGGTTCTTCCTCCTTAATTCTCTGTAATTTATTGATTGATTTTTCACTCTTTCCCACTAAGAAGTCACAGTGTTAGTGGCATGGTTTGACTTAAAGTCCAGGTGAAATGAAAAATGTTATTTTTATGTCAAAATCCAATCATTGTGTCTTCCTGTAAAACAAAATGTGACACGTGCTTACGTCAGCATGAAGTAACTGATTTCAACCAATAATATGATTTTTTTTACACATTTAATCATGTAATGGGGAAGATTAACAAAAACAATATTAACATTTAAAGTATTTTGTTTTAATGATGACATTGTTAATTAGAAATTCAATAGTATTTTTCTTAAGACTACTCATAACTGGATATATTTGAAAGAGAAGATATGTATTTGAAGCTTTGGATCGTTTCACAAACATAAAATAGGTGCTCTGTTTTTGTCTTTTCCTTTGGTCAAGGATGGTCCAGTGTACCTCCTAAACAAAAAAAAACAAAAAGCCTGTTTGAATACAGCCAATGTTTACCTAACAGGGAAACAATAGCAATGCATGAATTACATTTCAACTAAATTTACCCACAGTGTCTACTAATTATAGAAACAGCCCCACTGCTACACTTCTGCTTTGTGTGGGAGTAACGTTTTAATATTGTTGATATGATCATGTTACTGCCACACACGTTACTGCCACATTATAAAAGCCAATATCCACAAAAAGCATTCTAGAGCAGCACAAAGCAAAACCCACTGCAGATGTGCTGCTGCTGCGTACAGCAGTTAGAAGGTGCGGGACTAAAGGTCGAGGAGCCGCTGAGAGAGCTGTTCATCTTAACAACTGCTGGGGAAATACTTCCTTACGACCGCAGAGCTATGCTGATACTTAGAGGGATAACGGCTGAATTAAGTGGTGTGGTTCAAGATGTTACCATAAAGAAGATGATATAGAGGGTTTTGCCTCACCTGGAGGGTCCGACCCCTCTGGACTGTTTGAGAGCTACAATGATAAGTGGAGGTGCACCTTGAGATAAAGATAGGGATTAATTGGTATCATCTTAGAGAGGATGATGTGCAGACCTTTGCCTTACCTCGGGGTAATAGTTATGGACCTCCCTCGGAGGGTGCTGTAGGATCACTATAAGAGGATTAGCCTTGTAAAGAGGTCGATCCAGAGACCCCTGTGTCACCTAAGTGTCTGGGCATATTAATACTCATTGAGTTAATAGCCTCTTTCCCAGTGCAAGGACAAGTGAGCCTCCACTGCATCCATCAGAGGTCAGACATTAGCTATCAACCGCCAAGGGAATTCCTGCTGGGGAATCGATGAAAGCTGCTCGGCCGCTCATGGCATCTGCGCTGGCCTCTTGTCCAAAGCTCAGAAATCCAAGAGGTTAAACTCTCATGAAATGCGAAAATAAGTTGACGCTGTAATGAATTTGAGGGTTATCTGGACAAACCAGATATTTATTAAGACCAAATCAGTATTCATGCTCTTTTCCCTCAAATGCCCAATCACAATTCACATTCTCGCACTTTCCCACTTCCACACACTCACACCAGGGAGCAGCAAGTTCAATCACAGGCTTTTACTCTGAGCTTCACAGGAGCAATTGAGGGTTAGAATGTAATACAAGTCTGAAAGGCACTAGTAGTGCTTTATTTGAAGCTACATCCCTACGGTCGTCAGGTCAGCAATCATCTCTGCTGGTAACAAGACCCAAGAAGGGCCCAGAAAAAGGTTTGGTGCGGCACTGAGTGGTAGGAATGATGGGTAAGCCCTGGTAAGCCTTGGCTGGCCCTGCTTGGCCTAGCAGTAATACTTCACCAGGGTTTTGACTGGCTTTATACTGGCTTAGGTGCCAGTGGGTGGGTTTTAAATATTGCAAGGGCGGAAAAACTCTGGGATCACTTAATCTTCATGTGCAAACAATTGAACTCCCTCTGTAAGTCTGCTGTTAGAGGAACACACCACTGGAAGACAGTCACAGCCCGTATGCAGAGAAAATGTACTGATTTGCATGAAATGATAAAGAGCACATTTGGGTTTTTGTCTCTTTTGAAGTGACAAGCTTTCTCCAAACCTCTTAAACATTTTATCTCACTTCTACAATCTGTTATTATGCTGGGGGTTTCTTGTAAATCTGAAATTACAGTTTAAGTCTCAGCAATTGTTTAAATATAACAGCTCTCCTTTTAAAGGTACTGCAATTTTACTGCATAATACAGTTTGTAGAATGAATTCCCAATAACAATATATTCCACAAGGTTTTATATCAG